ACCATTTCAGGCAAGCTATCTATCCTCTCTCTACCTCCGATTTAACCATCAACAGATAGACTAATCAATGTCACACATCTTATAGGTGGAGAATTAAAATATGTAATTTATGCCTGGCCCCTACAAATGTTGAATTAGGAACTAGCATAAGACTAGGTTACTTTGACAGATTGGACACCACCTTACCACAGTGCACTCTAAACCCATTTCCTCCTTCATCCTGTTGTTTCCACAGTCCCATGCTAATTGCCGTCCAACAGCTGGCTTTGGTGACAACTTTTGTAATCACAGGCTGTAAAAACCAAACTAGGGAGTTAAATCGTTTTCAGGGATCCGTTCTGTTATGAAAGCAATTACAAATAACTCTCAATCCCTCTCCTTAAAGGAATGATGAGGTGAATTCTGGCTGAAACAGCATAAGAAAACCTGGATAGAACACCTGTGTCAACAACCTGCCCCTGCCATGTGATTCACAGCAAAGCCAAGTTGCTTGTAAGGCTACAGAGCAATGTGGCCCACTGTTGGGTGCAAGAGTTGATTTTCTGGAATCTCACTGAGGAAAAACATCCTCATTATCAATCAACCAGGGGTCAGGACAACTCCAAGATAAAAAAAAATAAATGAACAAACAAGTCATGTAGTTTTAGGCTGCATTTACATAAGCATTACTCCCTCTCTACACTGGAGTTTGGTCCCTAGTGACCCCGGGGTCAGGAAGGGGTCATATCAGTCACTGCCTGCCTGTCCTATAAAGTCAATAGGAGGCTGGAGCACTGGAGACTGGAGACATTGCTTATGAGGATGTTTACACCATCAAGGATGGTGGAGGAGTTAGAGTGGAAAATAAACAGAAGATCCAAGTACAAAAGACAGGATGAGGAGAGTGGATGGTGGGAGTCCTAGAAATTGTCATAGGTGACTGGTATGAGGTACAATGGAGCAGAGGTTTTATTGTTGTTGCTCATTTAAATCTAAGATTATTTTCTCTGAGGACCAATATCCAAATCAGTTTTTTTAAAAAAAGTGATTGAGCCCTGGCTGGTGTAGCTCAGTGGATTGAGTGCCAGCCTGTGAACCAAAGGGTCACTGGCTCCATTTCCAGTCACGGGCACATGCCTGGGTTGCGGGCCAGGTCGCCAGTTCAGGGCTTGCAAGTGGCAAACACACATTGATGTTTCTCTCCCTCTCTTTCTCCTTCCATTCCTCTCACTCTAAAAAAATAAATAAAACCTTTAATAAAAAATAGGTGATTGAGAAATAGTTTGACAACTTGTTCTAGAGATCTAATGTACAGAAATGGTGGTGATAGTTAGCAGTACTGTTTTGTATACTTGTAATTTTCTGGGAGGGTAGCTCTTAAGTCTTCTTAACACACACAGCCCAATGGCAACCATGTACAGGTAATGGATATGTTAACTAACTTGACTGTGGTGACCATTTAATAATGTATATGTATATCAAAATATCAAGTGTACATCTCAAATATACATAATTTTTATGTCAATGATAGCTCAAGAAAATTGCTAAAAATAAGTATGGCCTGTAGGAAAATGACTTTCAAACAACGTTAAACAATGAATCTGAAAAGATGGGCTGACACTGGAGGGCTTTGTGTGAGATGCATGATCACAAATACATACCTGTGGCCAAGATCAACAGAGTGGGTAGGTCCCAAATGACAGTATCTTGAGTTTGGCTCTCCTGCTCTAGAAAGAGCTACACCTGCTTCTGAAACTAAGGGAATTTGACCTGAGGAAAATTATTCTCCAAATCTTTGTGCACATATCTGCAAGAAATTAATAACCACTATAAACAAGGGCTTTTACAGTTTTCTCTTGGACATATAAAATGAAAATGTCTATATAATCAGATGAAATTTACTTTTGTGTCTCCATTTAGCATTAGAAACTCAAAAGGTCTGGCAAAGGACACACTATTCCTCTTCCTAAGATTCAAGACTAGGGCTACTTCCTGGCATCTTGACAAGTTCTGTGGAAGCGAGTCTCCTACCCTGGCCCAAATGTGGACAAAGTGAACAATAAGAAAAGGGCTTTCACTACTATGAAGGAACACAGTATTTCTCTTTTATTTGCATATACAAAAAATATCTTTGTCATTTCTATTAAACTGTGTGGCAAATACTCATGAAACAAACCAAGAACTGAAAAATACCCAGGAAGAGGGTTCGCTCAGTGCAAGTTGCGCTTTCTGAGGAGCAATTAGCTCTTGCCATTATTTTGTACTCTGTTATTAGCCCTCCCAAACCCACAGAATCCCCCCAGGGGCTACATTTGTGGGCTTCTTAGGAGCTCACCCAGGCACATTCCCTAGGACAAACATCTTTTACTTCTGCCATTACCAAGGTCCTTTCTAGACTTAAAGTAGGGATGCCCCCTGTCTTGGTAAAGATGATTTCTACCGAGAGTCAGTATGTTTGCTTTTGTCTTTAAACTTAGTGGATGACTTCAAGTGATTAGTTGAAATAATGGGCTGGAATGATCACTTTAAAATGACAATAGCATTTCAGGAAAAGTAACTGATTGTGATAGAACTAATCTTAGACACAATTGGAAAGTGTACATTTAGCAAATGTAAATTCAGCCTTTTCTTCATTTTCTTTCTTATTGTATCTTTTCAATTCTGAAGTTCCATGACCTGAGGTTCCCAACAGCCTTCCAGAATAACTCTATGCACTTAACCAGTATTTTTTCCTCCAACTTCCTCACTCTTTGAAACTCTTAGTGCATTTGTGCTTCTTTATCACTGTTACAGATAAAACCTTCCTGTTATAATGTTAATTATGTATCAAAAAAGGTTTTCAAACTAAAGGTTGAATTGTGGGATAGGGATATGGGAGAGGAAATTTGTGAGACTGAACCTTTAAGTCAGTCTTTCTCAAACAGTAGCAAGCATCAGGGTCACCTGCAGGACTGGTTTACAACACACATTCTTGGCCCCTCCCCAGAGTTTCTGATCCAGCAGGTCTGGGTTGGGGTCTGGGTTGGGGCCCCGAGAGTCAGTGTTTCTAACAAGCTCCACAGTGATGTTGATGTGGTTGTTGGCACAGCAACTACACCTTGGGATCCACTACTTTAAGTCAAACAACCCAAGTGCTTGCCTGATTTATCTTGACATCCAAATGTCAGCATGAGCAAGACTCTGACACATTCCATCCAAACCTCTTCCTCAAAAGTCAGGGCTTTATTCTTCATTCATTGTGAGAGTCATAAGCTGCTATTGGTAGAAAAGTATATGATTTAGAGTAAAATTTCTATTTGTTGTCTGCTTTGCCCATCACTGGAAATTTCTTTAAAATCTGGGCCTCAATTTTGTATTATAAAAAGTGGAAAAGTAAATCTAGTCTTTCAAATCCATTGTGGGGCTCAAAACACCTGTGAAGATGCCTGGTAAACAATGCAGTGCTCTAAAAATGGTATGATTGTTCTATAGTAAGCAGTTTCTCCAAGGTAGCTATTAAAAATGAAATGTGTTGGACCACATCCTGGTCTTAGAAAAGTAGAGCTACTTGTGTTTCCTAGGTCACCAACAAAGCTATTTTCCTCAAAACTCTCCTGTCATAGGTAAAAAAGGAAATACTAGACTAAGCTGTGGCAAGTCTTTTTTTATGCCCTAGAGAGCCACACACACAGTGTAGATCTGTGTAGAACAAAGGGAAAATTTCTGGTATCCTACATATTCCAAGTGCAATCCTAGTAGCCTCTGTTGTGGAAAATCCATAAGAACAACACCTGTGCAATTTTTCTTAGCACCAACACATTCAGAAAACACCAGAGCTACATGAACATGATTTGTTGACTATATCCCATTCCATTTTTTACCTCTCATCTTTCACATGACACTTAATAATCAGGGGAAAACGTATCTCCTGTGAACTACAACACATACACTGCTATGCATTCCATTTGTTAGACCCAGATCTCATCATTACATCCTCAATATGTGCCACGGGAAAATATGCAGCTCTCAAAGAATACCAACCAAGATCTAGAAACAGCTGGGAGGGGCCATTATACTGTCCCCCTGACATTCTCACATCCAGAGCTAAGGCAGGAACAGACCTGTCTCTTCAAGGGACAATTCTAACCCCTTGCAGTCATTCTTTGCTGGCAGGAGCCCGTGGAGAAGGTATAAGAGGTACACAGCACAGGCTGGTCTCTTCTCAGCTGTGAGGTCATTAACACTCAAGAGTTCCTCTTACCCCAACATAGGAGCAAGAGAACACTCAGGCACTAAACAAAGGGACACAATTTCATACAAGGCTGAAAAGAACTGAGGTGCGGTAGCAAACCCGACTCATTTGGTGCCATGGTCTCACCCACCTGTTGACACGAAATGAAATTATACAACTCAACACACATAGGGAAAACTCAGAAAATAAGAAAGGGGACAGTTACAATTTCACTTCCAGTATTCTTTCCACTTCACACCTTGCCCTCTGGATCCTCATGCTGCCGCTCTAAGTGTCATCTCTCATCACAGTGGACAACCAAAGCCTCTGAAGCCAATAGCATGTGTCCAAGACTGCACCTAGATATTTCCGTAGGCCCTATTCTTTTTGGCTTTTTTCCTCCCCAGCAGCATGTGTTTATTGGACAATTACAGGTTCTTTCCTAATAGGTACAACCCTGTTACTTTATTCAGGTATTTGTATATTCCAACCAGGTGAGGAGGAGGGGAGCAATGCACAATGAAAGACACAGACATGTTGGAGGAAAATGTACCTAGAAACCATTTATTTTATTTTTGGTTAAAGAACAAAACTTCATAAAAATATCCCACTCATAAGTAAAAATGGGATAAAAATTTGATTGCTGTTAATCTCCATTTACATGTATCTTCTCAACTCATCTGTAACATTCATTTGGGTTCTGCTCCTGTCCACCAATAGAAGCTCTCAAAGTAAACACAAGTGTCAGGAAGGAAAACATATTTACATGAGGAAGTTCAAGAATGCGGCTTCAGGAGGCAGTAGTGGCCCATCAGTAGAAGCAGGCAGTGTGCAGGAAGGTCTGGCTGCTCATCTCCTCAAACTCCAGTAGCACTTCCTCGATCTTGTTGTCCACGTCATCCAAGAGCTGAATGCACTGGCAGAGCTCGGAGAACAGGAACGCCCCCAGGCTGGCCTCTTCGAAGCTGTCCTGGATGTTCACATTGATCACATGCACTAGGTGTAAGGTCACCTGCTCTCTGGAATTCAGCTCTTCCACCACCTGGTCGTACACCTTCTCCTCACAGGTGAGGATCAGGTCGAATACATCTCTGCAGTTCTGGAACCTTTCAGGCCTTGGCTTGATCTCCATATTTCTCTCCAACATGCACAAAATGCCACTATTGGCATAGAACTCTTCATCTTTCTGAACAAGATCTTTGTGGATTTCATCATACGTGGTGTTGAAATCATAAATACTGGACTGGTCAGCTGTTGATCCTGGAAGCTTCACAAAACTCTCTGTTCCAAAGGACCGGACAACGAATCCCTTCCTCTTGAGGAGATGGTGGGCTTCCATGCTCCGATTTAGGTTGCTGGTGCACACTACTGCCACCCGCAGGGACGCCGATGCTAAGGCAATGCTTCCTGCCCAGTCACCACCTTCGGGCTCCAGACTCAGGGCTCTCAGCTCCGGATTCATGGCTTCTAGCTGCTGATTCAGGGCTCCCAGCTCTGGACTCAGGGCTCCTAGCTCCCGACTTATGGTTCTGACTCACGGTCCTGGCTCCTGGCTCCAGGCTCCAAGCTCCCAGACGGTCACCAGTCACCCAGCGAGGTACTCTGAAGCAAGCAAGATGGCAGCTGTGGCTCTGGAAAGTCACGATGTACAAGCGACGTGCTGGCTCATTGGGCGAGGCGATGTACAGCACAGCCATGCGCAGTGTGAGGCCATGTGCACTATGTGCAGGTGATCCCCTCCACACTTTCGGAGAGCTCCAGTCATCAACCCAAGGTAGGCCCACTTCGCAGCTCCATGATGCGCATGCGTGCCACCACTCTAGGCATGAGTCCAAGGCCCGTAGTCCTCCCAGGGGATGCTCGACACCCCCTGGCTTTTCTTTGTTCACTCTTTCTTCTCCCTACTGAAGTTCTCATGCATTTTAGAGTTTTCCTCTCCAGTTCTGTCGCTACCACCCTGCTCTCTGTTTGCAAATTCAATTGTACATTCCTTCTGGTTATGATAAGCCATTAAAATGGAGGAGCAAGAATAAGAGACATGAAGTCTTTATACCCTGAGTTCACTCATTAAGTTGATCATAGAAAAAATAAAATGGAATAAACATCACTAAGAGACGCACTTAGAAGACAGTTGGGAGGCCACTGAGGAAGTGGAGCTTATGCACATCTCGTTTCAGATCTTGGAACTCATGTTAACTTTCTGACCTGTTCCTAAAGTCAGCTCAAAGCCATCCACCAATATTCTGGATCAACGATTGCTGCATGAACATGCATGGGCTTGACTTCCTCCTCCTCATCATAGTGAGCAGACCATCTGCATCCTTCACCTTGAAAGGAGCCAATCGGTTTCAAAAACCAGCCTCCTCCATTTTCAGGGTGGGGCTCACCAATCCCTGCAGACCTAGCCAAGTCCTTCATTGACAGGGAGGACCAAAATGAGAACGGCCGGTTTGTTTGTGCCCTTTATAAACCCTGCCTTTCTTTGTCCCCTCTGGAGCACAGTTTAGCTTGCTCCCTGAATCTATGCCCCAGACTGCAGTCCCTCCTTTGCTCAAATAAACACTTTTTTATTCTTTATTAAAGCCTAAAACATTATTTTTATTATTTGGTTAAAAGGGCTAACAAATTGTGTGTGTCTACTATGTAAAAGCCACTCTGCTAAGTGCTGGGCACACATCACTGAACAAAAGAGGGGGAAAAACACAACCCCCCCCAAACAAACTCCTGTCCTCTCAGAGTTTATAGTCTAATGTATTTATAATCTGGAATTCAACCCAATTTTCAAATCCTTCCTTGACTCAAATGTATGAGTGAAATGTGTTTATTTTCAAGAGGAAAAAATTCTAACTAAACCAATATTTCTCAAGTGCCCTCCAAAGATTTCCTCCATCAGAATCCCTTAACATACTAGTCAAAACAAAGGTATATGGGCTGGCTCCATGGCAGGGCCATTAACTTAAACTCTATGAGGGTGGGTACAGGAACATTAACATTTTTAGCATGAATATTTCCCAACCTTTGAGAAGATTTGTCAAACTAAATGGATTAAGCTCACATACTGCAGAATTAGGTCCTTTTGTGCAAATGAATGTTTGAGATCTGCTGCTCATATGGTGGAGTTTCAGGCACTAGCTATAGCTATGTTTCCTAAACTTCCCAATAAAATCACTCAGGAGCAACTGTTAATTTTGAAGCATCTTAGGTCCATTTCACACAGATTCTGATCCAGTGGATTAGAATCCACTGATTTTTGTTGTTGTTGTTGCTGTTGTTGAAATCAAGCTGGGTAACTTCATCATTGCTGTAGCATTTTAGTATTTAATAAAAGTGCACAATTTAAATCAAGTGTATTTACTTTGAAATTTTTGATATTTGAATGAAATCTAATGACAATCTTTTTCATTTTTATCAGTTGGGGCATTGAAATTTAAAATTTAAAAATACATAATTAGTGGAAAAGAGATATGGTGAAAAATGGATTAAAGTATGTTAAGTTTTTAAAAAGAAAAACACAAAAGATGTGGTTTGAAAATATCTTTTTTAAAAACCTCTCTGAGTGTCTTTTCTCAGCAGAAAACCGTGGCTGAGCATAGTGAGCCAAGAGGCAGCTCAGATAATAAGAGGAACAAAGTCAGCTTGGCATATGGGGAAAAGGGAGAGAGAACAAGCTTTTACAGACCACTGAACCCAAGAGAGAATCCAGATTCTTACATGTAAAGACTATGTGATATTGGACAATTTACCAACCTCTTGAATAACAACAAAATGTCCCTAAAACATTTTCTGAAAGGATTAATTGAGATAAAAATGCATAAGACTTGGCATTCCAAGTCTCCCCCACACCGACCTTAACTGAAGTGATATCAGATAAATTTTTAGAAAAGAAATACTATAGGGCAGATATCATGAGTTGTAGACTTGTCAATTGGCACAAAAAACATAGCTAATATGGACTGTTAGCACTGATTTCAGTTAAACAAAGTAAATCCCTGTCTCAGTTGAAAGTAATTCATCTATTGAAGTTATGTGTTAGAACAAAAAACAGAAGAGATAAAATAAGCAAAATCTTCTTTCACACAAAATATTTTAAATATGTTTTTTGCCATTTCATTTCAAAGCTTAATTTGGATTTAGCATACTGTATATCTTTCAAAAAGTAGGTTGACATTGAGTAGTTATAAATTTTGAGTAGTTATAAAGCAGGATTTCTTACACAGACTTCGAGGAGTCCATTAATTGCTGCTCTGTGCCTTTGGGGTATAGCCTTCCCTACTTTTTCACACAAAAATTCATCAATATTCCCAACTACACAGTGTATTCAGATCTAAGGTTGGCAACAAAATATTGCTAAATCCCAGCCTAATGATCTAAATCTAATTTGATAGCTAAGTTTATGCTGGTAGATGTGGGCAATAAACACTTGAGGAGTTGCTCAGAACCACACAGGAAATCTGTTTCAGTTCAATAATGTATTCCTGAGTTTGTTATTTGGCAAAAAAAAAATTGAGAACATAATTGTACCCAATTTTCTCCGTTTCTGTGTTATCACACAGTGATAACATGAAGCATGAACAGAGGAAGTACTTATTTGCAAAGACAAATACTTTCAGGTGCTATGGGATGCAGACTCCTAAGAATTCATATAAATTCAGCATGATCATAACTTGAAGTTCAATGAATGTTCAGCTCTAGTCTTTCTTTGGTAATTGAGATATATATTCCATTTTCATATATAATACAGGTTTTAAGCAAGATTAATGGATTGATTATGAGGATCATTCATCTTTTTAAAAAAGGTCTTGTCCTTTGGAAAGCAGCATGTACAAATATGAAGTCAAGGCATATACCAGTTAAGAAAAAAAATACTTAAACACACTACTTGCTATTTAAAATCTTCCAGAAATTGGCCACATTAGAAATTAGCTTGGATCCAAAACATAAGAGCTAATTTAAATGAAAGAATGCTATAAACAGATCCAAAGTATCTCTATTCAGAATGTGATTTCTACCTTGGTAACAAAGCAGTCAGTATCCCTCTCTGTCCTTTAAGCTACATGGAAAATGTTAAGCATGCCCTTGCTGATGATAGTGACTTTGAACTTAATCCTTGCTTGATGTTATACTCTGCTAAAGGTAAAAATAAAATAACCTCATGTTTGTTAGTACTTTATAATGATGTGCACAGAGGTTTTTTAAAAAAATTTTTTATCCTCACCCGGGGACATTTTTTTTTTTCATTGCTTTTAAAGAGAGAAGGGCGAGAGAAAAACATCAATGTCAGAGGGAAGCATCCTTTGGTTGCCTCCTCTATGCACCCAGACTAAAGGGTCTTACCCACCCGGGCTGAGGACTGTGTGAGTCCATCAATTGGGTCCGTACATCCATGCCCAGAATGGGGATCTAACCCCCAACCTAGATATGTGCCCTGACCGGGAATCGAACCTGCAACCTTTTAGTTATGGGGCAATGTTCCAACACACTGAGCCACACTGGGCAGGGCAATATGCACAGAGTTTTAAGAATGACAAATACTATCAGAAACAAAGTGGCCCTTTTTACCACTTTCTTTGTGTGTGAATTCTCTCTGTAATTAAGAAGGAGAGTGAAAGGGTCTTAAATATGCTAATTGCTCCTAAGGCAGAGGCAAATAATTATGAATTCTAACCCTTGAACTAGAAATCAGAAAATAGGTAGGAGATGTTTAATAAACTACTGTCTTAAGGGGGGCATACTTATTTCCAACTCTGAGTGTCCTCCAACTCCAAATTTGTTGTATGTTATACCAGGGCTTGCCTGGTTGTTGATGACAGTAGTGGGGGCTTATTCTCTGGTTATTTTGAGGAGGCTTTTTGTCCATTATGCTGCTGCCTCTACAACCTCCCTACACAGAATATAAACCAAGACCAAAGCTCTAACTAGTAAACCCAAGGTGCAATCCAGTAAATAGTGACAGTCACAGATGGGATGATTACCATATTTTTTGGACCACAAGACCCACCTAGGTTTTAGAGGAGGAAAATAGGACAAAATTTTCGAAGTAAAAAATGTGGTAAAATATTTAATGACATAAATAACATAATATTTCACCAATGTAAATGGAACTCAACAACAGCATTAACAACCATCTTTCCTCCCAAATTTGGCAGTGGTGGGGTTGGGGGTGTGTCTTACAGTCTGAAAAATACAGTATTTGACCTTGTGGACTGAGAACCCATCACTCTAGACCCTTAATGCACTGAATCAGGTTAATTTTCCTCCTTCTTCCAGCATATTGCCAGATATGCGACTCCATGCGACCCTCTCAGCTCCATATTTGAAATATGATTATACAGTAAAATTCTTTGTCTTTTCTTACTTGTTTTTATCAGTGCAGAATGAGGAATGTGTAGAAATGAGGGGCATGTACATTTAAAGTTCTGTGAGGGATTTTTTGAGGGCTTGTGAAGTAATGTGTAGGATTTA